TATGGCTATACTTATGGGGCTTGTGGACAGGCACTTATTTCACCGTAATTATATTTACGCTCGCTACAGATTATGTTTAGTAGTAGTGATCCTTCGCCTAATCGGCCAACTACATTTGTTCTGTGGTGGCTATATGTTGCCACTATCAAAGGCTCACGTACGCAGTTCGTCGTTTGCTGTTACTTCGATCCCCTCTGCATGGGTTTTACTAGTTGTTTTTGTATTAGGTGCATGCTTCTATGGTGAATGGTTGAGGCATCCAAAATCACAAAATTGATTCTCTTTCTAGGGAATACAAGTAGATTCGTTTTAGTGGGTTTAGATGTGTTTTGCCGCAAGATATTGTCGTTGTAATATAATATTTATTTTAGTAGTTGAAGAAATTATTGTTTGTGGCAAACTGTGGACTTTTTTTATCTAAAGAACAATAATTTTTTTAAGTATCCCTCTCCTCGCTCCATCTCTCTCTCTATATCTTACAATAGTGAGGTAGATAGCTATCTCAATTTCTAGCCGTTGGCCGTAAACAGATTACAGTGTATCCTGTCGACAGTGGCGCAGTCAGACGGGTGGCATTATAGTGAGTGCTCCTGCGCTGCCGACTCAATACTCCATTTGCAGATAGAGGGACTAGCAGTATAAGGCACACGCGTTCTCACAGTGCAGTGACGTCGCCGCTGAGGCGGATTGTGTGGCTGTCGCAAGTTAATAGGATTCATATATATTTATATAAAGAGAAGAGCGCAGCTGTATAGATATACTTATGAGTCATCATATCGGACCGATCATGTACATATACAACTTTTTCCAGCAAAATCAAAGGTAGGATCCACGTATACCGAAAGCGGACATTAATTATTGCTTGATTTCAGAAAACAACGTATTAAACATATAAAAATTTTGTATTAAAAAATTAATGTAGATTTATGATATATTGGCTGGTTAACATGTGCGTGGCATTCAAGAAATGTTTCTGAATCGTATATTGTTGTTAGCTCATCTGACGTAGTCAGGTGCAGCTTGTAGAATCGCATGATCGTCAGTGCGTCTGTCCGGCCATCCGTCCGTGCGTCCGTCCGTGCGTCAACAGTTGGGCACAAATCTTAACCGCTCGACGTACGGTCACGATATTCGGGACGTGGGGGGTAATCCGAAAACGAGTTGGGATGTCGAAGCTGGGGGTTAAAGGTCAAAGGTCAACAGGTGTAAAAGAAGGGGGTACTTCTCCTTAACTTAAGGTCTAGGGAGGAAATGCAGAATTGCGGCACAAATCTAAACGGCTCGAGTCTCGACATAGGCTCGTGATAGTCGGTGTATAGCATCATGGTAGGAAAAGCCATCACTGTGCCGAAATTGGAGGTCACAGGTCAAAGGTCAATGGGCACAGGGCAGATTTTAGACATTTTCTGAGGACATGGTCTGACGGAGCGATTGAAAAACTTTTATGTTTCAGCGGTGACCTAGCATTTTTATGGCTTTATTGAAAGGACCATGAAATGTACTTTCTGCTGACATGCAAATAGTAAGTGTCGGATAAGTTATTGACCCTCAAGAGGAGGGTTAAACATGGATTTGTTTACTGTTAGAAAGAATTTGACTGCCTGGGTTTGCTAGTAGAATCTATACATGCCTGGATGTATGAGGCTACAATGTCACAGTGAAATTTCAAAAGTTAAATTTGGTTGAAGAAGGTTTATGCTCCTTAAATCGTATAATTTCTATGGCATTCTGTACAGTCGGTGTCAGGGTTCTCCCTACGTTGCGCAAACGGGGCGCGCGCGCCCCGTTTGGGAAAACTCCCCCCTGTTTGAATCGTTGCGCCCCGTTTAAATTACCTCCGCCCCGTTCAAATTCCACCACAATAAAAGTTTGCCAGCGCGGGAATCGACCGTTAAGAATTGCCGTTCGACCAGGACATCCGACGCGTGTATTTTTACCGTACCACGCATGCACTGCAGACAGTACACAAGTTAACCTGACAATGCACAGTTAACCTGTCACTAACTGTACACCGACTCGGCTATCTCTTATATAAAGGGCGAGCCTGTTTTTGTGTCTGTCTGTCTGTCTATCTTCTCCCCCCACGTAAGAGTTCACCCCCAACACCATATATATTCTTAATCAGCATGTCGCGATGCCTAAAGGCAAGGTCCAAAAAA